TACAAGCCTTGTCCGTCTCTGTATGTGTCAACTTCAGTTTTTCATACCAATGCTGCGGTTGCTCGTGGTGTTAGTAACAGGCCATCTTGAGGTTGTCTCCCAAAGTGCTCGGCGTCCTACCGTCGGCGGCCGAAGCCAGTCCAGCTACAGTCTCTTTCGCTATAATTGTGTCACGTAACAGTTATGAGAACGGCAAGCCCCGAGGTACCCATCACGTGTTATATCACGTGTATGTCATATACATCCTACATAGACCGTTCTCTTTCGTCTATTTCGACTCTGGTAGATGAAGCCACTTGACCACACCCCGTATGCTCATTGCTGCGTACCATCACTCCTGGCGCATTGACACAGCTTCTAATCTGTTTCCGGGAGCTCAAGAGTTTGCTGCCTTAATTCTGCATTGGTGACCGCTGCTCCTACAATTGCCCATTTTCCGTGCCACCTGCGTATGTTCGGGAATATCCGTACTTTCTTATTGGCACTTCCACTCCAATGGTGCCTAGAAGTTCAGTATTTTGGTCCGTCTTGACTGCCTTGATTGACGTACTGTTGTTGGCGTCATGGACTTCGTCATCTGTTGCCACCTCGAAAGAAATGCATAGGGCCCATCGCAAGCACAAAACACATTGAACGTGCGCCTCGTCGAGTATGTTGACGCATCTGTTTCCCTTTGCGAGATCTCAGCATCGCAGTGTCTGACCACAAGCTACACTTGCCAAGTATCTGGAGCCAGTATGGAAGATAAGGGCCTGCAATCAATAGTTATGGCCATTAGGGCCTTGCTGCAGTTTCCTCTGGTATCCCAAAGATATATTGTCTTGTCACGGGTGGCTGCTGCCATAGAATAGGCTGAACTCCTTGCCGGCGATTCTCCTGGCCTGACAATTTTTGCTGTATTTACGTAGGCGCTGGTCGGGGCGATTGTTCGATATGCGATAATATGTTGGTGGTCTATGAGCGTTGCTTTCACCTCAGGGTTTGCCGTGCTGATATTCTGTGTACGACCCGTACAGTCTTCGTCAGCCAATAGAAGAAAGCGGCCGTCCGGCTATGGATAGGCATGGAGAATCCAGTCCCTAGAGCACTAAAATGTCTCAACCAAGCAGTCAGTTGCAATATCCCATATCCGCAGTGTCACGTCGCGGCTGGCCGAAAAAAGTAAGCATTGAGCCTACGATGCTGGTGGGTCCAGGGAATAGGAGTCAGACTGCACTGAAACTGTCGTCGTGGTCAGTTCGGATGGTCTTGTAGTCGTTTAAAGATCTAAATGGCGCGGCAACCTGATTGCCAAGTTATTCGAACATGAAGCCAGCAGCATGACAGCCGACAATCCAGAGAAGTCAACGTTGATCATTGCTTTCGTTTATTCTCCAATTGTCTTGTTCAGCTCGCTAAGCTCTTAGTCCCGGATTTCCATGGTGCGATCTCCTGATCCTGAGTCGAGGGCTGGAATGATGGGGCGGAAATCAATATGCGTGAAGAATGTGCGATGAGATCAAAGCGTGTGAAGGGCGAAGGAGAGAACCAAGAGCTTTACATGACGACGGGTTGAGTGTCGATCGTTCGATCTCTGACCGTAAGGCTCCAATAATGGACTTGCATTTCATGATCTAGTCTGTGTCGTAAAAGGTTCCCAGGCATAGCAACGCTACAAATGACGCAGACGGAAACAACAGATCTTCTGCGTGAGTCGCACCAGGCTTATCCGCTTTTTCTTTAGCAAACCTTCGTGATTACTGGAGACAGTGGGGTCAGTTCTATGTTATCTCTACATCTACGACATCATTAATAACGATCTTGAGGCAGCGAGTAGTAGTTACTCGCCTTCTCACGGAGGCGCTCTCCTAGGCTTAGGACAAGCCAGGTTCGTGAACGAGAGGGCGATAGTAGGAGGCCCTCACACGTAAACCCTGCCCTTCCTCATTGTAGGACAGCGGCATGGGGCTGCGGGAGATGTCTTGGCACTTGACGCTTTAAGGCCCTACGTGCTACAAAAGAGAAGTCTTCCGGAGAAGTCTTCCGGAGAAGACGTGCTAGTGTCCGTTTGGCCCAGAAAAACATGTATGCCTCTATTTCCGAGCCTGATCCACCTTCAAGGCGTTGGAACGTGTCTAGCTCGACATGCAAAGTTCTTTGCTTGCCATGCACACTTCCCCTGGCTATCGTGACGAAGGTAGAGGGGGCGAACGCAACAATTTACTGGTCTTGGGCTGGCTCCTTCCATATCAGGAATAACTCATGACCGCCAGATGGTGCTGCAACGTGTCAGCACCTGATGATTGGCGTGTTCTTAGCCGCGATAGCCTTCGTTGGCGGGTGTCTGGAGACTAGCCTTGGCCTTGCCAAGGGCCATCAGTTTGCACCAGCGAGCTTTAGATAGTGTTCTGCGAGATACGTAGAACCCGAACTAAGATTATGTACGTAGATCGAGTGTGCTATGGCGCATTGAGACTCAGCTGCGTAGTCCAGGCGAAAGAGTGACGATACTGGGCGTACCAAATCCACCGGCTCAGCTCCATCCTACTTGTTGTTATGCAAACGTCCCCGCAACCAATTGGACAGGTCTTTGCCTTAATTAGTTCAGGCGGTTAAGCTGCTTCTTCAGCCTGATGGACCAGGAATTTGCGCATGGATGGCCGAAGCCAAACATCAATGAGCCTACAAAGCTGTAAGGGCCGACAACCAAGATATCTGCAATTTCACTCCCAGCGTCCATACCGGAGGAGAACCCGGCATCTGCCATGACACCCGCTATATGAACCTCCCGTGGTACCACAGGACACACTCTACCATGCGAGGTCCGACGCCCGCGTGTTGTGGACACCATTGCCTAGAATAGAGCTGCTCATGTTTCGAAGAAGCCTTTGGTAGTCGTGGTCTTGGGTGTAAGTAGGAGGCTACTATATGCGCATATCAGACACACCGCGTTGGACGGCTGGACGCCATCGTAGAGTTCTGCTTTGCGCCAGGCTGACTTCCCGTGTCAAAGTTGGACGACGACCTTCTCACTAATTCTCGAAGGAGAAAAGAGCGCGGGGCCGGTCGTTGGATCCTTCCATCGAGTGGAAGCTACCATGGCGGATACTGTCTAGGAAGGACCCTTCCAGGATACGCTCTACATCCCGAGACTAGATGTGTTCGTCGGATGTCCCGCGATTGGACAAAGTAAGCCACTGACAACACCGGAAACGACCCGAAAAGACGCCGCCAATTCTTCCTTTAAAGAAGGATTTCCTTGTTCTCGTCGTCTGCCGGCGAAGGACGAGGTGTTAACGGCCACCCTGTAGACCCTAGCACGTTGCGGCTTGTCTGCAGCTCGCCCAACGAGGAACGTGGCCTGCACACCGGTACGGTTCCAACAGTCTCGAGGTATACGCTGATCAGATGGAAAGGGGGGGGGGTGCGGGAAGGGGGTGTCAGAGCAGACACTCGTATCTACGAAAAGGTACATGACAGGGATCGCGGTCATGGACCCGGAAGCAGGGGAGCAAGGCCGGAAGCAACAGCCCAAGGCGAGTCGGGGGCGTGAGGCACTCAGCGGAGCACTTACACTATGTTACAGTGGTCGCTGGGAGATGTATCATCTGCAGGATTAGCGAGTCACAGCCTGCAGCGTTGTGCGCGTTTTCCTCTGGAAAGGCGGAAATTCAAGTTCCCAGCCGCGAAGCATATCAGACATGGAAAGATCTCCGTGTCATCTATCAAAAATCCAGTCTCTGCAGATCGTCCGAGACTGACTCCACCTTACTAGCACGCCTGCTTCAGCTATTGATTCGTCCCGAACAAGCTAGCATGGCATCAGAGAGCAATGCTGGCATCCTTGTGAAGTATCTGTTTGCCGTCGCAAGAGACAAATTTGCAAAGCGAGGCGAGCTACTACCTCGGTGACCCGAGCATGCTGTCAACCCATCCGACCAAGGGAGTGACGAGAGGCAAACTTACATGTCTCCCTGATGGGCTGTCTCTGACGGAATACAACCTTGCCGGACGGCCTGATAAAGAGCCCAATTGGTGCTGCTGATCAAGTGCTGGCGACAGGCTCGAAGTCAAGGACTGCATGATCATTCCGTTAACCGCCCTGCGGAATATCGCAGCAGCACCGCGGCGCCGAGTTCAGAGCCTAGAGCTATCCTCGGCTTGCACTGGTTCCTGCTCCCATTCAAAGCGAAATCGACTGCCACCGCCATTCAAGGCGTCTCAGACAATCGATTCGCCTTCGGACGCTCGTCATATCCCGCCGCGACCAAAACCCTACGTGTTTCCTAGCCCCACACTCACGACGTCCGCCTTCCGTCACTCTCAACTTGAGTGCCACCGCTTCGGCTGGAACCTTCGTTCCTCAATTGGGAAGTGCATACATACAAGCCGACACCATGGAGACATCTTCGAGAGATGATGGGCCGGCGGATCTTCTTGATACATATCCTGGATCAATCAAACCTAGGACGCTCGGGGCGATTCGGCTCGAACAGTGGTTCTTTTTCTGTCACCACTCCCGCTTCTGGAAACATGATGAACGCACCGCCGCCCTTACCACCACCGCTACTCCCCTTCGGCAATCTTCCTACGTACCATCAGGACCCCAGAAGACACTACTGCAATTCATACAACCCAATGGAATACATTTATCACGACAGCTTAGGAAGTTCGCAATACGGATCACCATGCTCGAAGCCCGCTTATAGGAGCGATGAGGGCTATTTGGGCATTGGTTGCTCTTCAGCTTCGGCTTCCACAAGGTTGGAGACCCTAATACTCCTTTGATCTTTGATTTGATTTCAAGAAAGGGTGAAACCCTTAGACTGTCGAAAGTTGGTGCCCGTCTGACATCTTTGCCGTCATAGTACCGAAGCTCCCTGCCTAGCATCCCGGCCGGGTTTGGTCTGCATCACAACCAGTTTCAATCCCTTTCTAGTGCCGATACCCTCGTTGATATAAAGAAGAAGCTCGCGGCTTGGAAGAAATTTGACAACAAGGCGCCTAGCTCACCCCCGAGTATGTCAAGCACATCGTCAACTATCGAATCTTCCTGGAGGAGGCCGTCCAGCGACATGTGCGACCCCACGAATATCGTGTTTATCGGGCTGCCGTTGCACCTCGAGACGTCAAACCTACTAGACTCTCCTGACAGGTACACGCAGACTCCTCACTCTGCTCTCCCACATCCTCCGAAGCCTGCCGTTCCATCTCAAACAGTATTATTGCTCCCCGTTCTCTTCAAAAAGGGACAACATCGACGATACGTCATCAAACAGTGACAAGACGGACAAGATGGAAATGGAAGAGACCAATTCCGCGAAGAGATTGCGAACAGAGGATCCCATGAGGGCGCACTACGACGGTATCGGGGTGAAGCGCCGTGCCTCAATGGGCCCTGATAACAGCGTCCCACTTGCTTTCACAATCCCAAGTGACTCACTGCGTCGCCGCGATAGAAGCCAAAAAGTATCGCCCGCATCTCAACCAAGCGTCATTCCTCAAGAATCATGGTCTCACAGTTTGGATTCACACCTGCCAACGGAGAGCATCGTCAGCATAGGTTTGTCATATGGTCAAATTCCTCCGGGCGAATTGCCTCCGGGGGCCATTTCGTCCGGCGGGATTGATGACATCTGCATCTCACCTCACAATGGATTGATGTCACTGAACGCCTCACCTCGCGGCTCCTTTTCCGACGTAACCTATCAACGGACCATTAGCGAAAACGGGCCTCTCGCTTCTTCCCGCAAGCTCACGGAAGTGAGCAAGCCTGATGAACACAAGATCTTCGAGGGTTTCTTCATGTGCGACTGTTGCCCGAAGAAGCCCAAGAAATTCCAGTCGGCCGGGGATTTAGCGTGAGTATAGGGTCCGCAGATATTGCGAAATCATTTGAGCATGAGCTGAATGTTTGCAGGTCTCATGAAGCTGAGAAGCACCATAAATGCTCGTTCTGTGAGAGTCGATTCAAGAACAAAAACGAGGCGGAACGCCATCAAAACAGCCTTCATATTCGGCAAAAAAGCTGGAGTTGCCTGGCTTTGAATGCTTATGATCGAGCCTTCCACAAGAGTATCAATCGCCCCGGTGCAGCAGACTTCTGTGGTTACTGCGGTGAGGATTTTCCCAGAAACGGGAGTGACTCTGGTGATTCCGCTTCGCGTCGAATCACGGGCCAGGAGTGGGAAGAGCGCGTCCGCCATCTTGAAGAGGTATACAAGTTCCGAGAGTGCAACAAGAGCAAGACATTCTTCCGCGCGGACCATTTCCGTCAGCACCTTAGACACAGCCACGTAGGCACTAACGCCAGATGGACGAACGTGCTGGAGAATGCTTGCATGTTGGATGAGAATACAACTCCGAGATGAGCCTAAATTGGCAGGCATGACTTGTCGACGAGAGCTCGCTAGAATTTATCATTCAGCTCACACGGTCATATACCCAGTGCGAAACCTCGGAACACAGAACCGCAACTTAGGGTCGACGCACCCAGCTCATACGTCTGCCCACGGCGGGGCGACTCGATACCGAGCCGACGACGCGCAGGGCCCCCAGAGCTTTGTTTCTTGCATGGGATTTCTTTGCATGAGATAGCAGAAACTTCTTGCTTCAAGGCTAAGCTACAAGTTTTCTTGTCAGCTTATAGGCAGTACAAGTTTTAAGAGTGTTCTGTTGAGGCATGCGGGCGGCATCCATAAGTTTAATGTGCTGGCCGATTGGAGGCATCCATGTCTAAGACACCGATTGGTCTCCATTGGGGCTTTTAATATGAGTTCAACACAATACAAAGATAATCACCGAAGGAATTGACGACACAGCCGGGTGCGAACGGCTGCCATAAAAGACAAAGCCTGATCAAAAGACCTTCACTCGCTCGTCTGCGCCCTGCATGCACGAAGTCCCGTTGAAATAGGGCAGCGGGCGATTATTGGCGGATTTGACAGCAGAAAAGGTGTTCGGGCCGCGGCAAACGATCTCCTACCTAGGTACTTACACCCAACAGAGGAGTCTCGGCCTCTGCCCACCTTCCTCCCATACACATACGCTGTTCAATATACCAACCATCAAGCTTCGCACCGATCGAAAGGCCTGCTCTACTGACGTGTACACCAAAAACCACGTCTCATGTGCGCATATAATGGCGACTTCACCATTTCTCAAGTTCAGGCGCGTAGATCATCCATCCCGTGCGAACTCCTGTATGTCCTTGAGCACGACACCAAGCCGCCAATCTTGATTCTATTGTACAAAGAAGTCAATATTGACTCCTTCTACGTTCGGACTAGCCATCGTAACTTCAAGGAGTTGGGGGTGTTCCGCTGTCCGCGATTTATGACGAATATCTCTGGTCAGGTCATAGTGGTCCGGATCTTGGTGGAAGACGTCATCGAGAGCGGCACATGATGACAAGTGCAGGGAGTCCTCTCGCTCATCTGTGACAGTCATGCTAGAGAGGCATTACTACTTAGTACCCAAAGAAGAGCTTCTTTCCAAGTGGCTAGCCCGCGATCCAGCGGAGTCGTCGTAAGCTATTGGCCGGTCGTCCTCCAGATTGATGTCGCTGCTCGGAGTCTTGTCGGTCTTGACCCTCCGGGATTCCAATAAGCCGCCACTTCTATGCGGTCGAATCATCGAAGAAACATTATCAGTCTTCCTCGAGCTTCGATTTGTATACTTCCGGTGGACCTCGGCGAGAAACTGATCCATTCTCTCAAGATACGTGACGTATTTGAGGCCATGCCAAAGTAAGGCGCAGCCTTGGTCAATGCTTGGAGAGCGATGCTGGAGATTCTCGTCAGCGCCCTCTCAGATGTGGCCCCCGAGTTCTGTTCCTCGATTTCCTGCTTGCCGACTATATGACTCTGAGTATCCATGTGAGGATAGTGCCATGCGTAAGTTCTCACAAAGGCTGCTGGCCTGTTTCGATATAGTCACAGAACTCGTATACTGCGGTTTCGTTGCTTGCCCACTCGATGATAGGCCTCAGCAGGTACCAGGCGAAGTCGGCATTGTCCTCAAGAGTCTCCAAGCCGAAGTCTTCCTTTATCGCATCGATCTCCTTGGCGAAGCCCTTGTCGAGCACACTGTCTACTTGCTTGATGACGAGCTTGACATCGGCAGAGCAGGTGCGCGGCAGGGCCTGCTCAATGGGAGTGAAGAATTGCCAGAAATCATCAAAAGCCTGCACGACGGCAGAGCTGGCATGGTAGGCAGCAAAGGCACCAGGTGCAATGACAGATGTCCACGCGGAGAGAGTGCCAGGACAACTGCCAGGAACGTTACGAGAACGTGGCTCAACGTCCACGGCAGGCAGCGCCAAGGGAGAGGACTCCCGTCAGTCAACTTTCATGTGTTAGCGTTGGCTCGCCGAAGCCCTTCCCTTCTGTTGCGCAACTTATTGCACCGCGCAACAACTCTTCGTAAATATGGTGATGACTATCTTTTTCTTTTTTTCTAACGCTCTCTGATGCTGATTATGCCCGGTCGACGTTTTCCTGTGACTGTTCGCTCCGCGGCGGAGAGGAATCGTCATAGCTTCGTACCCAAGATTAGAACGCACTCGTGACTTCTGCCTGAAAATCTCACACGCGCTTAAACGCAGTTCCCTGACACAGCGTTCCAATAAATCATTTCCCATATGACCATGTCCCGGTTCGGGGGCCTAGAAGCCTGTTCCACCTTGTCATCTGACCCCTTCAAGCATAACTCCCGCTGAACTGGGGCAGCGGGTTGCCACCAGCCATCTGCGTGTAGAAGGAGGGCTTGCGCATGTCCCATCACCGGTATTGGGCGCGCATACCATCCCGCCCGTCGTAGATTCCTGAATATCCTCAAGCATGGTGCCGAATCACTGACCCTGGTTCTG